CCGCTGCTGCGCATCACCTTTCCCGAAAATTTTTTCCTGCTCCTCCGTGCTCTCAACACGTTGTTTTTCGTGTTGCAGCTGACTTTCCAAGGATTCAAGCTTGGCTACAAGATCTTCTTCCCTCTTTTTAGCATCCTCCAGCTGCTGTTTTAACTCCTGCGATAGAGATGTAAGCTGATATACAAGACGAGAACTCTCCGCTGCTAGCGCATCTCCCTTTTCCCGACTAAGTTTTTCCTGCTCCTCCGTGCTCTCAACACGTTGTTTTTCCTGTCGCAGCTGATTTTCCAACGATTCAAGCTTGGCTACGACATCTTCTTCCCTCTTTTTAGCATCCCCCAGCTGTTGTTTTAACTCCTGCGATAGAGATGTAAGCTGATCTACAAGACGAGAATTCTCCGCTGCTAGCACATCTCCCTTTTCCCGACTAAGTTTTTCCTGCTCCTCCGTGTTCTCAACACGTTGTTTTTCCTGTCGCAGCTGATTTTCCAACGATTCAAGCTTGGCTACGACATCTTTTTCCCTCTTTCTAGCATTCTCCAGCTGTTGCTTCAAATCCTGGCAGTCTGCTACCATTTCCATCTGACGAGCTCTTGCTTCCTTGTCCAGTACCGTCAGTTGATCCAAGAAACGAGCTTTCTCATCTCCTAGTCGACCGATCTCCTTGTCACGTTGGTCGAGCTTCGTTTCATTGTCTATCTTCAGTTGATCGAGCTGAGCTTTAACGGATTGAAGCTCACGAAGGCTTTCTCCTTCCCGTTTCTCGGCATCGTTTAGCTCCTGCCTCAGATGCTGGATGCTGGCTTCCAGATCTTGCATCTCAAATCGACAACCATCGAGCTCGTCAACTTTTTGAGACAGTGCTGCAAGCTCCGCCGACAGAGAATCTCTTTCCTCTGTTACCCTGAGAACCTCCTGTTCACGACTACGAAGTCTCACCATGTCCTCCTCAATGGCCAGATTTTTGGCTGCGATCACCTCTCTGTGCTCCTCACGTTCACTAGCGACCTGGGTTTTCAATCTCGCCAGTTCTTCCGCAGAAGCAGACAGGCTTGATTCTACCACGCCTTTCTCCCCTTCTAGCTCTTCCACTCGAACTCTTAAGTCCTGTAGTTCCCTCTCCTTCTCTTTTGTCCCCTCTTTGATCATCCTGACATTGTCCAAGACGCTGCCCGACAGCGAACTAGTCTGAACTTCTTCTATGTCGGCTGCCTCGCTTCCTAGGAGAGAGATTAGCCGCTCGAACTCAGCGACAGTTCTCTGCATAGCTTCTTCAGCTTCCTGACGTGACGAAGCAAGAGCTGAATCCAGGCCTGTTTTTTCCGAGACACAGCTCTCGAGCTGCACCGTCATTGCACGTAGCTTCTTCTCTTCATCCAAAAGAACGGACCGAAGCCGCGTGTCCAGTTCCTCAACTTTCAGCGAGAGACTGTTTCGTTCGGCAAGAACCTGTTCCTTTTCCTGCTTTGCAACCCGTATATCTTCGTGCAGCTTTTCCAACATCTCATGCGATCGGCCGTGTTCCAATACATCCTACCACAAAAACCGTGTTGGAAATGGCCGAAAAACAAAAGTCCTGAGCTACCTGACTTTGTAAATCCATGGAGGTAGAATCCTTTTGTACAGGCTCCAATCGATCCTGCCATCACTTTCTCAGTAAGAATCACATACGCAAGAGGAACAAAGAGAAAGTCTACCAGATTTTGTGAGTCGAGAATTTCGGGTTCTTCGTTCTCGTTCTGCGAAAAAATAAACGATCACACATGAAACATGCCTTGCCTTTCGATTAACTCTACCTGGACAGTGCCGCTCTCATCCTTGATCGCCGATCCAGACTCCTCGCCAGTAGCGGCAACAGCAGCGTCCGCATTCTTCGATTCCACTCGCTGCTGCTGTCGCTTCAATCGAAATTCCTCCAGCTAGAACAAAACACTGACAAATCAAGAGCTGGATTTCAGAGAAATCCAATGCGAGGGACGACCGATCGCCGATCTCAAACATACCCGCTTCTTCCCGGCCGCGCGCAAGCTGTCCTTGCTCCTCGACGCGTCCATCGCGAACCCTAAACCCACTAGAGAGCAATGGTCGCGAGTTCGATACACTTCCAGCGCTTTTATTAGCCTAGATAGCTAAAAGAGAGAGAACAGAGAAGAATGGCGATCGGCCGTGGGAGGAGGAGGCTATGGCGGCGGCTGGAGCGGCGGCGCGCGGTCCATCTCGGCGGATTTTGAATGGCAGCAAGCTGGAATGGAGAGCGCTCGATCGGTGAGTGTGATTTTCCACTCCAGCAATGTAGGGTTTGTGATTGGGCGTGATCGCGGCAGAATGTGGGCGTCCAGCATCGAGCATTCGTCCCGCAGAAGGATCAGAATTTTTCCCTCGGAGCTGCGACTGGGATTCCTGTTCTTCTCGGACGAGCGGCGCATTTCCCGAATATCGCGTACCGCTGCGTGCAGCCATCCGACTTGGAGATTTTGCAAGAGATCCACGAAGCTCTTTTTCCAATCAAGTAAGCAAGAGAAGCTCGTCCTCTTCTTCTTCCTCCTCTTCTCTCATTTCTTCTTCTTGGTTTTAAGATCTCAAGTTCTTCTTTTTTGCTGTGATCTTCCTAGATATGAACTGTTCCTCTCTTCTCTTAGCATTTCTTCTTACTCAATTGGTTTTATGTTCTAAAGTTTTTCTTTGTGGCTGTGATCTATGAAATAGAGTTTTCTTCTTCTTAGCATTTCTTCTTACTTGGTTTGAAGTTCTCAAGTTCTTTGTTTTTGCTGTGATCTTCCTAGATATGAATTGGAGTTTTTCATGAGCGTCGTTCATGGGAGAGGAGTTGTCGCTTGGGCTGCCGTCGACACTGGCCGATCAGATGGGCGCGGAGAACAACTCGTCGGTTTTATCACTGCTCGAATGATCAAAGCATCAGAGGCCGAAGTAAGTTCGTCCACACTCTCCATCTTTTCTCTCTTTTGATCTTTCTTCTTGTTCTAGTTCCAGGGGGAAGATATCCTCGGCTACGACGTCCTGAAAGCCGACCGTAACTTGCTCTACATCCTCACTTTGGGAGTCGTCAAGCCATACCGCAACTTTGGAATTGGTATGGATGATCTCTGGCTGTTCTTCACTTTCTTTTCTTTTTGATACAGCTTCCGCGTTGGTGTGGCAAGTTATCGAGTACGCACGCCGCATCTCCTCTTGCCGAGCAGTCTACTTGCACGTCATCGCCTACAACCGAGCAGCCATCAACTTCTACCAGAAGAACACCTTCCGGTGCCTGCGTCGCCTCTCCAAGTTCTACCACATCAATGGCCACCACTACGACGCTTACTTGTACATATACTACGTCAACGGCGGGAGGCCGCCTTGCTCGGCACTGTATCCTTTTTTTTCTCCTCGCTTTCTCAGCGATTTGCTCGTCCTTGACTCACTCCACTCTCGATTTTCAGCGATTTTGCAGCGGCAGCAGGGAGTTTTTTGAAGAACGCGTGCTCGTCACTACTCGCGATGCTCTACAGGCTGAGAAATGAGAATAGATCGAAGCTCATGGGACCATGACGAAGAAACGAGAGACTCTCTCCCAGAGACAAAAAAAACTGTTAAGACTTAACTGTTGCCTTTAAGTGTGAACGAAGAACCCTAAATTTTGGTCACGGGCTCTTCGTCTTCGTCCGGGAGTGGCGAGGCGGGCGGGCGGGCGATTCACGAAAAGAATCCGCTATCCTCGAATGTGGGTCTCCAGTTCCAGGTATCCTCTTCGCATTCATTGATTGATCCGTTCGTTCAAGCCAAAAAGAAATGCCCAGAAGGAGACGCGCTGGCCGCGCGCTAGGGCCGCGGATTTGAGCTGAATGGTGTGGATGCGCCATGATCTTCCTCAAGATGTTCAACCTTTTTGTCTCGCGGAAGCTTCTCAAGCGCAAAGACAGTCACGGTTCTTTCTTTTCTCCTTTTTCTTTTCTTTGGCTGGTTCCTTGTTCTTTAGGCAAGATGTTCTAAGTGTTTTCTTCGTTTTTTCTTGGTTTTTTTGTGTTTCTTCTCAAAGCTTCGGATGTGAATTCTCTCTTTTGATTTTCTCTTCTCTCTTTTTGCCTTTACTTTTTTGGATCCTTGTTCTTACCCAAGCGTTTTCTTCTTGGTTTCTTTGCGTTTTCTTGAAAATCTTCTTCGTTTCACTGAGTGATGTGAATTTCTCTTTTGATTTTCTCAAAGTTTTTCTCTCTCTTTTTGCCTCGAGCTTTTTGGTTCCTTGGGAAAGCTGTTCTAAGCCTTTTCTTCCTTCTTTCTTGGCTTCTTTGTGTTTCTCAAAGCTGATGTGAATTCTCTCTTTTGGTTTTTCCAGCTTCGCCAGCTTCTTTGGTGGATGATCTACGCGCATCGCTGCTGAGCGATCTTCGCACGTCCGATGGTGCCAAGAGACAACAGCAGCGTTTCTGCGGCCCCAGTGCCGCTCTAACTTTCAACTTCCTCGTTGCGGTGGCCATCATATTGATGAACAAATCGGTTGAGTAGAGCTCATTCTCTTTTTCTTTCCTTCGTCTACTTATCCAGAGTTTTACTCTCAGGTTCTTGGCAGAGTTGGATTTAACTTTCCCATAGCGCTCACATTCTTGCACTACTCCGTAAGCTGGATTTTCATGTGTATATTGAATGCCTGTTCGCTTCTCCCGGCCGCTCCTCCGCTCAAAGCAACGCCAATCTCGTCACTCTTTGGTCTCGGCATTGTCATGGCGTTTTCCAACGGACTCGCGAACGTCAGTCTGAAATACAACAGGTATCACGTTTCTTCTTCTTTATTTCTTTGCTTCTTAGTTTCTAACTTCACGTTTTCTCCCGATGATATCGCAGTGTAGGATTCTACCAAATGGCCAAGATCGCAGTCACACCTACGATTGTATTGTCCGAATTCATGCTCTTCGCAAAGAGAGTTTCCATCCAAAAGGTGACTGAGTTGAGCAACTTTGGTGTGTTTCTTAGATGTTTTTCTTTCAGGTGCTAGCTTTAGCTGTTGTTTCCGTGGGAGTGGCCATTGCCACCGTCACAGACTTACAGTTCCACTTGTTCGGAGCTCTGGTAGCAGTAGCGTGGATCATCCCCAGCGCGATCAACAAGATCCTCTGGTCGAATCTACAACAGCAAGAAGGCTGGACGGCGCTTGCGTAAGCTGCTGCCTCCTTTTCACCCCCTCTCCGGCGCTGATATTGGTAGTCCATTCTAATACACGATTGAACGTACCATCTCTTTCAAGCTGGAGACTAAAACTCTCTCTTTTTCCAGGCTTATGTGGAGAACCACTCCGATAACTCTCCTCACGCTTCTCATCCTCATGCCGTGGCTCGATCCACCGGGATTTTTTTCGTTCCAATGGAGTTTCTTTAGCACAGCCGCGGTGCTATCGTCCGCTGTTCTTGGATTTCTTCTTCAGTGGTCTGGAGCTCTAGCACTCGGGTAGGATCTTCTTTTCTTTCTTCTCCAGCCCAGGAAAAAAAACGTGAAATCTTTCTTTCCTCGTGAAAACAGTGCCACTTCCGCGACGACTCATGTGGTTCTCGGACAGTTTAAGACGTGCGTTATACTTCTCGGCGGTTACGTTTTCTTCCACTCCAATCCAGGATCCAAGAGCCTCTCCGGCGCGACCATG